GCGATTCAATTTCCGAAAAATCATTAATATTCAACTATTTTATTTTTCGCGTGATAACGTCGAACGTACAATCGAATAGCTTGTATAATTTTTAATCAATCTTTATATCGATCCTTTAATCACGCATTATCAAAATGTAGGATATTCGGTCCCGGTTCAGACAAACACGAGGATAACAAGAACATTTCGGATAATTATGTGGATGCAGACAGGAAAACGACTATAAAGAATGCAAAATATCAAGAAGACTTATCTAATCCAACAGGTTCATGTAACAATTCATACGTAAAAACAGGAGGAACAGAAGATCTTAACGAGTAATTATTTGTTTTACGATTATTAAAATATATATATGAGTATACATACATATAAATAGATTTTACACGAATTAAACATTGCATTTTCTATGCGAATATGATCTATTAGGCAATATGTGAAGTATTCGTATATTAGTGTTAAATTACTTCTCCTTATAATAAGCAAAAAATCAAAATTACTTTTCTAGTCATATTATTACATTTGGTACGATATGTTACCTAATTATACAGGGTGTTCCATGATTAGATGTTGAAACAGATCAGCTGTCATTTTTTTGAAGATATTCAGTTATTGAATGAAAAACAAAAATTGCGCTAAATTCTGAAAAGAGGAAAATCTGTAATTTTTAATTGGTATAAATAAAATTTAACTAAATGTTTGTGTACCAATTAATTTTATTGAGAAATATGTTCATAATCCCAAGGAGTAACTTTTTCGGAGTGTGCACCATCTGAATTTGTACAAAATACATTTTTTTTACGAAAGCTTTTCCTAACATATCCTTTTTAATATTGCTAATAACTTTTTAAATAGCTGCTGTTAAATATGAAACTGTTTTTCGATCTTATTTGCGATCTTAAATACTAATCTTAGCGTTTACTTAATTTAAACATATTTTTCATCAATAAAATTAATTAATACACAAACATTTTGTTAAACTTTATTTATACTCATTAAAAATTGCAGGCTTTCCTCTTTTCAGCGCAATTTTTGTTTTTTCAGTAACTGAATATCTTCGAAAATAACAGCTTAGTTTGAACACCTTCCCGTGAGACACTGTATAAGATATTATAATTGCTTTCGTCAAAATTTTGGAAATATACATATTAGTACAAACAACGTACTAAATTAAATATATTATGATTGTACATGTTAGACAGTTTATGTACGCTAAATAGAAGAATAGAGAAAAAAGAAGTTTAAGAAATATTGAAAAGATAAAAAAAAGAGAAAAAAGTAATTTACATTAATACATTTCTATTGCATGAACAATTATTGTATGAAAAGAAATATGATCGAATAGCATAAATGAAAGTTTATATTTATTTTCTTATTTAAAATTCGTGACTAATATTATCATGCAATATATGAGTAGTTTTCTGATTGCAATATGCAATGCATTTAGCTTCATTTATAATTTTACTTACATTAATATGTACACCTTTTAATTTTCGATGTTGTTCGTAATGTACATACATGTATGTATATTCTTTTTATGTAATAGCTTTTTTTAGTTCCTTTATATTACTTTCAATTCTTTTTCATGTTTTAAAAAATGTCTTTATATTTATGAACTTTATTTTATAATTAATTCAGAATCCAACGATGAACCTTATACCATCTAGTAAGCAAGAAAAGTTCTGAAATATTGCAGCAACATTGTAGCAACGTTGTAACTGAAATTTTTCAAAATGTTTCTTACTTATTCGGCATATGTTTTGCATATAGTAAAATACCTTATCAAGCAATAAATTGTAGAGAGATTATTCCTGTAAACAATACATAAGCCACAAAAATTCATTTTAAGTATTGCCCTGACGAAAAAATTTTTATCAATAACTATAAAAATTTACGTAATCATAAACTTTATAGAAATTTATGTTTTTCGTAGAAATTTTCCTTTTTTATCTTATACAAATTTATTTTTATCTGTACAGTGCAACTTTATCTGCCCAAGTAGTACTAAAAATTACAATTTTCTAAAATCAAGCACATGTAAAGGTATTATTTCATGAAAAATTACAATTATTTAGAAACAGTATAAACTTACAAATTTTGAAAATTGAAAGAACTACGAGATTATAAAACATTTTACTCACTCGTAGAATACTATAATTATTTATAAATAACAATGGAGATCTTCTAGGTAATATATGTCTAATAATTATGGGATTTAGAATTCAAATGTTGTTTTAAGTTCCCCCATAAAAAAATTCATTCTTATAGGTATACCAACAAAAATCATTGTTTCAATTCTAGCATTTTTATATAGGTTTCTTGAGCATCTTGCTGATTCATGTAGAGTTTCGTAGATTTTGGCAACCATTTTTTTAAATTTTCTGTAG